GACCGTCTATAAACTCACTAGGGGGGACCAGAAGGGTTTGGGAGAGACCTTGTTTCCCCTAGCGCCCCCTGGCATAACAAGGAATAACAGCCACAAGTTGTTGGAGAGTAGGTTTAGATTAGACATCCGTAAGAACTACTTCACAGTTAGGGTGGCAAGGATCTGGAACCAACTTCCAAGGGAAGTGGTGCTGGCTCCTGCCCTGGGGCTCTTTAAGAAGAGGCTTGATGCCTACCTGACTGGAGTCAATTGAGCCCAGTTTTTCTCCTGCCCAGGCAGGGAGTTGGACTTGAAGATCTACAAGGTCCCTTCCGACCCTACTTCTATGATAATATGATTCTGTGAATTCACTTAACCAATGCAAACAATTTCTACCCTGAAACCACAGAGCTGACTGCATTTAAAAATGTAAAACAGCAATTTTGCAAACAGAAGACAGGAAGTATAAAGTCATTTTATATCTTTAAACTTAATTTAGCAGCAGGGTAAAGTATAATGCTTCCCTTTGGGGCCCAAAGTGCAAACATAAAGACATTAAACAAGCCTGAGAAAAAGGATCTGTGTGGTAAGCCAGTTTTATGCTTCCACCTATGAACCTAATTGAAATTAGCCAATTCACCTAACAGACCAATGACCTGTTACTAATACAGGCATTAACAGATTTTCTGACTACTCAGAAATAGGTTTTCTGATCATTCTGTTCCAGAAGAAGATGATGAAAGTGGAAGAGATGACCAAATACAGTTCCTAAATTTTTCCAGGTTTGGTTTTCCAGGACTGGAAAACAAGAAGTTGGAACATTTAATTGAAGTTTGTATCACAGACACCAAGGGCTACATTATAACTTTACAATCTGCCCTGTGGAAGGCATAATTCTGCCTCAGTACTCATTGGCTTGGGAGGAAAGAAGCATCCAGGTAGCTACACTTGAAGGGCAGAACGAAAACTCCTCTCAGTCTCCCATTTGCTCACTGGAAGGAGAATCAGAAGAGTAACTACTGTTTTCCCCAGTGCACTAGAGATGCAGTCCAGTCTGGGCAAGCAGGGATAGTTTCATAGTTTCTAGGGTCGGAAGGGACCTGAGCAGATCATTTAGTCCGACCCCCTGCCATGGCAGGAAAGAGAACTGGGGTCAAACGACCCCAGCAAGGTGTACATCTAACCTCCTCTTAAAAACCCCCAGGGTAGGAGCCTGCACCACCTCTCTTGGAAGTTGGTTCCAGACCCTAGCCGCCCTGACCGTGAAATAGTGCCTCCTGATGTCTAACCTAAACCTACCCTCTGCCAGCTTGTGACCATTATTCCTGGTCACTCCTGGCGGTGCTCGGGGGAACAGTGACTCCCCCAATGCCTGCTGATCCCCCCTGACTAGTTTATAACAGGCCACAAGATCCCCCCTCAGCCTTCTCTTTTGGAGGCTGAACAGGTTCAGGTCCCGTAGCCTCTCCTCATAGGGCCTGCCCTGCTG